TCAGCTTTCCAAAGATGTGATAAACCACAGTTAATTTATGTTTTAACGGGGGGGGGGCAATCACTTTTTCACACAGGGCCATGTAGGTTTGGATTTGTTTTCCCCCTTAATAATAAAACCTTCATTTAAAAACTGCATTTTGTGTTTACTTGTGTTATCTTTGTCTAATATTTAAATTTGTTTGATGATCTGAAACATTTAAGTGTGACAAACATGCAAAAAAATAAGAAATCAGGAAGGGGGCAAACACTTTTTCACACAACTGTGTGTGTGTGTATATATATATATATATATATATATATATACCCATGTCCATACATCTCTGGACTTTTCAACACAAACAGAGCTGTTGCAAGAAGTCACCTGTTTAATTTTCATTTATTTATTTTTTAGCTTAGAGACAAATAACAATAGCTGTCTCAGGAAATTTCCCGTATGTGTCAAATTATTCTGCAGTCATAGCTGGCAGGAAATATGATGAAGTGTATTTAGAATATATACAGCACACCATATATGTTTTGATGACGTCATTAACACAATACAACGCTGCCGCCTCCAGGCTCGCCAGGTGTTGAGCCTGCTGAAGAAGTACGTCCGTGCAGAGCAGAAGGACAGGCAGCACACGCTGAAACACTACGAACACGTCCGCACAGTTGATCCCAAGAAGGCTGCACAGATCCGACCTCAGGTGCTCTACCTCACTTACTTACAGTCAAAAAAAACCTTTTAGCTCTTTCAAACCTTTAATGTAACTTCTTCGCTTCCTTTAGGTGTTGACCCACCTACGTGTGATCGACGAGAGGATGAATCAGTCCGTCGATCTGCTCTACAAAGTGCCGAGCGTGGCGAACGAGATCCAAAACCAAGTCTGTAAGTGTCTAACTGTATGAATGACTGCTTTTCACACATCTGCATTGTGAGTCAGGGTATGATGATGCTGTTAAACATTGTTGTTAAATGTTACAATATCATAAAATGAAAAGAGATTACCACAAGTTAATCTTAGTATTATGTAGAGTTGAAACAATTAAAGTTGATTCATTGATTAGTCGATCAACATAAATTGTATCTACAGCGATGTGGTTTATGGATCAAAATTCACCAGTTTCAGCTTTTCATATTTTCATATTTATGTTTCGTATTAACTGAATTTCTAAATACAGGTTTAATTGGGAAAGTGTAATCGTGACATTTTTCAATGTCTTCTGACATTTTATAGACCGAAAGATTAATTGATCAGTCAGGAAAATAATCAGTGAACAAATGCTAAACATGTTTTTAACATTTGTCATGTTGTGATTTATTCATTTTAAAGAGAGATGAGCTCGTATTGGAATACCGTCTAATTAAACCAACCTAAATATACTTTACACACACACTCTTAATGAAGCAGCCCCTCACAACCTCTTGTAGTGCTGACTGAGGATGAAAAGCAGTTTAACAGCATGTGATGGATGGCGTGCTGATAGCGCATCATCTCTACTGTTAGTTTGTCTTCAGTGATCAGCGTTTCTCCCTCCCATCCATCATCATGCTGCATCTACCTCTCTCACACTCACTCTCTTTCTCCTTTTTTCTTGCTAGCTGTTATAATGCAGAGAGTTCAGTCAGAGCTGTCTCAGCAAGTCTCTTCACTGCAGAGCGATGGGCGGGTGAGTCGAGTTGCACTCACTAACCTATGCATGGAGTTTGTCCCCAATGGACCGCACCGGCTCTCTAAATAGAGTCACCCCTACAATGAAACTAGAAAAGTGCACTCAGTAGAGTGCAGATCTTCGCCAGGTGTGTCTCCCTCTCCCCTCCCAAACAAGAAGAGTTAAATCTCACTCAATTGTCCCTCCTGGCTTCCTGTCGGTCAAGATGGTGGCAAAAATAACAAAAATGGGGATTTATTTATCTCATCTCGTGCTAATTTGAGAGGATCATAACGTATCGGGTATGACTGCCGTATCTGCATTAGTCTGCAGATACGAAATGAGACCAAACTTTTCTATGGATGTCTGTTTTTTGAGCCACGACAAAGACTAAAAATGTGGCCTGCAATAGATTAGGTTTGTTTACCCTAGCATTGCAGGATAAAGCAGTTGTTGGTCCCTCGTTTGTCAAAGATTTGGAATCGCTGCAACCACAAAAGTTCCTTGAGCATACAGTCATAAATGAGCACAAAAAATGTTTGCTGATGGGTGCAGTAGTATGCAAGATATGCCGTGGACAGACAGACAAGACACACACACACACACACACACTTGTGGCCAATGTCAGACTTTCCATCTTTTAGCAGATAATCATCTGGATTAGATGGCATTATCAAAGAAAGCCTCCCTGACAGTCTCACGCTTTATATGTCCATATTACTGTTGCTCTGTGTTTGCAGGTGGACGGCAGGGTGAGTTACGGTAACGACGCTCTGATGCCCGATCAGGCCTACAGCTCTGCTCCTCTGGACCCTAGTCTGGACAGACTGGGTTTCATCCACCCCGAGAGCTTCAACCAGCCCAACACAGAGAACCACGGTAACACACACAATCATAAAAACATCATAAAATGCTTGTGGATGTCAACTTGACTTTGCAATTTGACATTTTATCCCCTTTAAAAATGTCTAATTGTGTGAATTTCTCTGCAGTTGAGCCTGTTGATGCTCGTCCACTTCCAGACAGAGGACTCCCCACACGTCCTGGTGAGTGTGAGTCTGTGTGTACTTCTGAGTGGTGGTTTTCTCCACAAGCCAACTATAAGCACATAATATACACGTTTTTATTACATACTTTGTGTGTGTGTTTCGTTTCAGTATCTGCGCTGAAGCCAGAGGAGATGCCAGAAGTGCGGATGGAGACTGAAGAGCGGCAAAGTGCTGGTTATGAAGTTTACCATCAAAAACTGGTACGAAAACGCATGATGTCATTTATTTTTGTGTCCTGTCTTTGCTTTGTGTACATTAACAGTTTTGTTTTTGTTCTCAATGGCAGGTGTTTTTCGCTGAGGATGTGGGGTCCAATAAAGGGGCCATTATTGGACTGATGGTTGGTGGGGTTGTCATTGCAACCATCATTGTCATTACTTTGGTGATGCTGAGGAAGAAGCAATATACGTCTATTCATCACGGTGTAATTGAGGTAAAGAAAGGCCTTTCATGAATTTGAGTGAAATGCAACAAAGTGTGTTAAAGTAGTTTCACTCACCCTCTTCTACTTTGGTAGGTGGATGCAGCAGTGACGCCAGAGGAGCGTCATCTGGCCAAGATGCAGCAGAACGGCTACGAGAATCCCACCTACAAATTCTTCGAGCAGATGCAGAACTGAAGAACCGCTCATCAACACTTTCTCCAGACGCATCCCCACACTCTCTCTCTCTCTCTCTCTCGTAGGGTCTGTTCCATTCTGCTCCCTTTTGCCCTCAGCCCCTGCACCCTCACTCCTCCTTTTAAGGCAAAGGAAAGGTGTGAAGAGCACTGCGAAGGCAGATTTTTATCCTTTTTGGATCAGTTATTTGTCTCAGTCTGGGGTTTGTGCCAAAGGTAAATGAAACGGAACAAAGCCTTCTTGATCCCTGATCCCTGATCCCTCGATTGTAAAGAGCCACACTTGAGCTTATATTTACCCACAATTGATATGACAAGGGTACCATGTTTCACCTGCACATGTCAGCCAATCTCAACAAAAACTTCATAATATTTGTACTCAAAGGCCCAGTTGATGATTTATATGAAGTCCCGCAGCTGAGAGCAGAAACATGTAATTCACAGCCCCCCCCCAACCACACACACACACTCCAATGACAGCTGTGGCTTGTTTGATGACATAACAGCTATTAAAGCTGGCGATGGGCGTAGGGGCTCTCAGAGAGCCTCTCCGCACAATTAGAGCCCAACTGTTTCAGGTTTGTTTTACAAAAAAGGAGGAAAATACGCAGAAAAATTATACTTAATCAAAACATGTAAAAGTTAAAAAAAAAAAAAATATTGAATGTTTTTGTTTTCTGATTTATTTGTATGTGTAATATATTAAGACAGAGATTAGCTGTAAGTATATGTAGTGCATGGCAATATTGATGACGGAAATTGTACGTTGAGGTCCGATGAAGCATTCCTCTTACTAGATATTTTAGCAAGATTGTACATTTCTAGTGTCTTCTTTGTGATCTTGTGATATGAAGAAGAGAAGTATTCAGAACCCGGTCTGCTTTGTTGTCACACAGACTTGCTTTAACTGGATCCTGGCTTGTTGCTCTCATCCCCATGCTTCACTGTTGTGTTAGCTGCATGGGCCAAATGCTCTATATGTAATATATGAAGTGTAATAGTATCCGAAAGGAAGACTATTTTGTTACTGTTTGCGTTCTATGCACTCTTTTCATTTTGGAAGTCTGTTCACCAAATATTATCGCTGTTAAGTCCCTGATGCCGACTCACGCTGTCTCTGCACATTTGGGTTTTTATGACTGAGGAGGTCAAACTTTAGAAAGGTTTTCTGAGTGTGCATCATTCCAGATTCATCATTCCTCTCGATTGTAAATATTTGAAAGACGGGAGATCCAGCTCTCAATGGCAAACTTTCATTAGGAAAATCCGCCCGTCTTTTCATCTTGTTCATGTCTTCTTCGGTCTTTCTGTCTAAGCCCCCATTTGTCCTCCCTTTCTGGCTGTGTCAGCAATAGTGTACAGTGCAGTGTTTGCTTAAAATGACAGGGACTTGTTGGGTCTACAGAAATAACTAACTTGTTCTCCTCTTCACACACATTCCTTCATCAAATCTCGCATACACATTCTATTTTTCTACATTTCCCGCGTATACATGTAGATTCTCTGTTCGTCTTGTATGTATTATTTAAGACTCTTAAAAATCCTCAAGAGGTGAAGAATTACCATCGACACCGGGACAACTTGCATAAGAGACATTTCCTTCTCCCTTAATTAAGTTATCGCCACCTCCAGTAAACATGAATGTGACATGCATATTGTACTTTTATACCACAGAAACACAAAACATATCTCCTCTCTGCACATTATAGCCACACGTGTACAGACACTAACTGAAGCTCCTAATCAGGTGAATGTTTAAACTTTGTATCGATGCTCACTCTGGGTCTTTGGATGCTCGTGTTTAAAAAAATAAATTGTGCCCCCCCCCGCATTGATTCAGTGACCTCCCTTGGTGTGTAGTTGAAATAACCATTTGCTTAGAGTGAGACAAAGCTTTCTACACTCAGTATACCATGAATAAAATTTTGAATGTACGTGTCTTGTTCGTCACTTTGAATAATTTATACAGGATTATAAATACTCAAGAGATGAAAGTAATCTCAGACGTTTAGAAAAAAATGCTTGCCACTTTATTCCCTCTAGTGGACAAAAAAGGGTCCAACAATTCAGGGAACAAACACTAAATAAAATACAAAACAGGTCTATTAATGGAAAGTATGAAAATACACTTGTCCTGGTGACTATCAAAAACATGAAATACCGGTATATACAGTGGAAATGATCCTAAACTAGAGACAATGAACGCATTACACAAAGCGCATAACTCAGTCATGCATTCCAGCATTCAGTCAGATGCACACAACATTTCTCACATTCGGCCACCTCATTCTGAACACACTTCTCTTGGTTAGAGTTAAGGAAAAGATACAAAGAAAACACCCTTTTACCCGCCTCAGTCAAACTTTGAACAGTAAAGACAATGATAAAGTTGATAGTCCACGCTGATCAGGGATCAGCCTTGTGTTTCTGTGCCTGCTGGACACAGTTGTGTCAGAAGAAGAAGAAGAAAGTTGATTTAATTTCCAGTCAGCGGTGGAGAGCACACTTTGGCAGCTGGAGGGCGCTTTAACGCGGCCTCCTCTTAACTGTCTTTGTCTAGCGTGGTGGTGGCCAGCGTCACCGTCGTGATGGGATGTCCGATGCCGTGCATCTGCATGCGAGCCAGTTTCTTCTGCTCGCAGTCGGTCACCAGGTTGTTGAGCTCGGCAGCGCTGTAGCCGATCAGAGTTCTCAGGTCGCACACAAACTTGTAGACGAAGCGCTTGCCCTGCACCTTGCTGATCATGTCCCCGTCGTAGTAATACCTAAAATGACAACACGGAAGTCAGAATCTCGCTGCATAAAGCCAAAAAACATCCTACGGTATTTTGTCAAGTGAAACAAAGACGTTCAGCTTCTGTGATGCTGGCGTGTTATCTGTAATCACGCTCTAGGGCGACATTATGCCGCCGCTGTTTGGTTCAGTGTGAAAAAGCAAAGCTGGCATAGTTGCAGATCTTCTTTATGGCAGTATTGCAGAATCTCTCTGTGAACAGGGCTCCAGATTATATGATATGTACAATGTCTTTGTCTGGGGGAGCTTCGTCATGTGACCATTGAGCAATACTAAGCCACTGGAGCACATCTTTATGAAGAAAAGAAACACACCTGAGGGCTCTGCTGAGTTTCTCATAGTTCATAGTAGGCTTGTTCTTGCGCTGGCCCCATTTCTGCGCCACAAGCTCCGGCTGGTTGAGTTTGAACTCGCCCTCCTCGCCCACCCAAGAGATGCAGTCTCTCGCATCCTTGTCTGTCAGCAGCTCCAGCAGGAACTGCCAAAGCTGGATCTGGCCGTTGTTGCCTGGCACCAGAGAAACGCAGCATTTAATATATGGCTTAAACAATGAAATGCTTGTCTAATGAGTTGCCGAGTGACTTTTACCTGTGCGGTTACCAGGTGAGCTGCGCTCCTCTCCTCCAGAGATCCGGGGAGTTCTGGGGCCACGGCTCTGCTTCAGCACCTTAATGGTAGTGGGTGTGCTCACCTGAGCTGGGATTATCTGCACAGCTGGAGACACAGACAGAAAAGGTTAAAGATGAACAGAATATCAACGACCAGAACAACCGATATGCTGTAAATAGAGCCATTCCATTTGTAAGTAAATGGACCATTTCTCCCTTTAAATGTACTAGTTTTGTTCTTAATCGCGTCGCTGCCCTATAGGCAAGTACACAAGTTCTCTGTGTTGTGTCTCATCAGATCAGATAACTTGAGCAGCTCCCGACTGCCCAAATCTAGTCCTGAGCTGACAGTGTCTACAGAAGCATTTTCACGTTTCATGGAGAGCCTTTGGGAGATTTTTTTACTTACGTTGATCAATGGTGACAGTAGCGTCCCCTCCAGACTGGTCCTGGCTCGCCAACACATCTGAAATGAATACAAAGGGTTAGGACACATTCATTAGGCCATAAGGACTTTCTCAGATACAAACAAGATGCAACTTAGGCCTTCATTTCACCTCTGTTGACATATACTCTCCTAACACCAAAATAACTCTGCGACTTACATTTGCGCAGGAGTTCCAGGTGACTCCAGAGAATCTCTCCGTTGGGCACTTTCTGAAGGAACTCTTCCTGGCTGAATAAGCACAGATCACGACCCGGGATGTGAATGCTGCCTATTTCCATCTCGTCGATGTTAAACTCTTTCATTACCCACACAGCCCAGTGGATCACCTGGTCAGCTGACCAGAGCACAGGATCTGAGGAGAGAGAGAGAAACATCATACACAATCACATTTACTTGTTACCACATTAAGGATTGGTTTCCGACACAGATGTATCTCATCTTAAGTTGTCCTCACCATATGGTATGCCCAGGCGAACCTGCTCTTTGCGGTAGCCTTCAAGTGCTGCGGCCCAGCGTGTAACCTGCTCCGACGTCTCGTCAGACAGGCCAGACCGATCCACGGCAATGAGATGACCCTCCTCCATCAGAGTGCCCTCCTCTCCCGCTGCATCTGGATCAATCACCACCTCGACCGTTTCCACCGGCTTCACAATCTCCAAAATGTTCAACTTCTCCTCACCTGGATGAGGGGAAAAAAAACACACAAGTAGGTGAGGTTGATGTAGTGTAAGTGCCAATTAAACCAACATAAAGCTATTTATATATTCACTGATCTTTGAAGCATCTTCTCAGTACCAGGCTTGGTTATTATCTGCAGGCTGAGCTGCACTGTGCCATCCGTCTTTACTCCCTGGTCGAAGAGGCTGTGGTCGGGGTGAAGCTACAAGGAGGAATACGACAGATTGTTGAATCAGAGCTGAAAAGAGAGGCAATTCCACACTTTGCAGCTCCAGAGACTACTATCAGACTTACAGTACGCACCTGTAATTATGAAATCATAAAGAAATCTTGACGTGCTTGATTTATGTACACATTGTTACCTGAATGTCCTGTAAGCAGATCTCATATGCATCCAGTGATATTTGGATCCGGGGCTCCAAAAGCTTCTTTAAATTGCCAACGGGCTCATTGATGTCGATATCTTGTTGAATCAAGTCTGATGCAGTGATGGTCTGCTCCTCAACACTATATGTGAAAGAAGAGAGGGTGAAATAACTGTACATGTGTATTTATTACAACTGCAAGTTAAATCACCATTATCTAGCTTACCCTTCCTCCAGACATGCCTGCTTCTCCTGTTCATCGATCTCGATCTCTATCATCTCTTCTGGTTCACCTTTAGACATTCTGTTTTATGCAGAGAGCCAAACTGTACGAAAGTAATGAAAGGTATTTCTTTTAATATATATATATATATATATATATATATATATATATATATATATATATATATATATATATATATATTTTGTAAAACACTGATTAACTGACAATGACTAACTAATACATGTTAGTTGAGGCCCTAAATTGTAGAGCTATTTAATTGTAGGGGCGGTCATGCCACTGTGTCAACCCCCTTAGCTGAATTCTACTCAGCATACTATACATACTGTATGTACTATTATATGCATGTACCGTTATATACATATACATATATATACACAAACATTTTTCAGAGGCCAACGGTGACGTCATTAGATGTCATCAACAACCCCCAAAGTATTCAATATAATAATAGAAGACATGAAATTAGTTTGAAATGGCATAAATGGTGGTGGTTATTTTTATAATGCCATAAAGATTATAATTCAATATTGAAAACATTTCCCTTAACACAATAATGTGACAGCAGGAAAATAACTTCTGGTGATTTCCCCTTTATTTTTCTGTAAGTGTAAAGTTCAGGAGCACAAACTACTTAAAAGGCATCCAAAAAGTTTGAAACATTGATGTCACAATAATAGAGAATATTTCGGCTTCAGTGTGTAAACGTGAGGGTCGATGACGCAAATGTGGAATTGCAATTTGGGGGTTTCTACTATAAAGGCCTTTCAGCCTCGACTCCTCACTGACCGCCTGGAACAGTTCTCTGACTGATCCTAGTGCTAACGTTAGCCAACTCGAGGGCGAGGCTTTGGCACGTTAAGGCCAAATGGTAGGCCAAAGTAACCAAAAATAAGTAAGCAAACATATGTATACATCATAAACATGTTGTAGAAGAAAACAAAAGTTATTAATAAAAATATATACAGCGGGATACACATGCCGGTATACTGAATCTGGTCTACACTGAACCAAGTTAGCTACTATTTTGCAAACGAATGCACCGCGGCGCGAGGCAGCCCATCAACCAACTGTCGATCAATGGTTAAATATCCTAGAAACGCATCGCGCAAATATCGCACAAATATTCGCTAAATCAAACTTTAACTCTGCGCGAAGAAAACTTTTAAAACGGAAATAGAATAAACGGAAACAAAACAACATAGGGGCAAATGGAAAGGAGCCGGAAATCCTGGCTAAAGGTTTACAGCGTACAAGACTTCCGAGAGCAGCCGCGACAAATACGACACGAGCTTCCGTGGAAAACTAACCGCTCAGAGCGACTGAATACACGGAGCCAACGCTCAGTTAAACACAAACTGAGAATATTCAGAGAAGTGTGGACTAAAAGACAGTTTTAATCGTGTCTGGATGTATACGCACTCTGTGTTTGAGGCTGGTCTGTCCACTTTACTGCTGTTAGCAACCAGCTAACACAGAACTGCTAACACGTTAACGGAGTTTATCCTCAAACCTGACGGTGTTTTCCAGATTGTGAGAAAGCCACACGAGCCGCGGTGTTAGCAGTGTTAGTTTAGCGTTAACGGAAGTTTTCTGGTGCTCCGTGAGTGTGTTTAAATGACTAGCTAGCTTGACGGCAGGCGGCCTCTTCCCACGAAGCTAAGTAATCAACAACAGCTAACGTTAGCTAGCTAGTTAGTTAGCCACAAAATAGCGGGAAGGCTCTAAGCGCATCAAACAGAGCCACACTATGTCCGCGGTTTAAGTCCACTTTCCTTTTAACAAGCACATCTGTCTCAGACACATCCATACCTCTTAAAATGTCAGCCTTAGAAGATGTTGGATTATGTTCAACTGTGGTAGATAAGCACTCAAAACTCACACACAGTCGGGTCGTATCATGCAAGTTTTTGGTCAACTACACTCACTCAGAGGGGCGGAGACTAACGAGACAGTTAACGTTACCCTAAAAATACAAAATGTAACTTGTCTTTATTAAGTGTGGACTTTATTCACGTTATATAATTTGGAATCGTATTATCAGTATACATGGCCAGGATATGAACTTTGGTGTTTTAATTAATTAGGCCTATATGTTTCCTCATCCGATTTAAATGTCATGGTAGTCCTTTATTTAAATAACCCACTCTTCAGTTGTTTAACAAAACAATAATTCCACTAAGTAACTAACATACTGTGTATCCTCTATTGAATTTTTGTCTTGATATTCCTCGTGATTCCTTCAGGCTGTTCATCTGTATAACTAGGCCAGGAGTTTGAAATCAAGTATTTTGATTACATGCAACAGGACAAGATTGGTCCGCTAGGGGGCCCTCGTTTAAAGATGTGTGGTTCTATTTAGCCCCTCCCTACACATATTCCCCAAAACATTTTGCTCCGTTTGTGGACCACATTTATCATATTAAAGGTATTCCAACTAAGTTTGAACACAGTTCCTCTCCACAAAATCTCAGTACTGTGCAGGGGCCACCTAATGATCCGTACCAATCCAGTACCTGGTCCCTCTGGGTATGGGGTCCTAGATGTGGTTTGCAGGGGTAGTTATCCTTTGCCCAGTTCTTAATCCTGCCTTGTCTTGCAATAGTAAGTTTTATGTGATGGCTATATTGATGCACATGACTGTGGTTGGCCATTTTGTTCTTGCAGACTTGTAAATAATAAGCAGACATACTGTGATATTCAGTGACAAAACAAGCATGGCCTGTCCACAAAGAAGCTCTTTGTTTTCTTGAATATACAGTTGTGTGAAAAAGTGTTTGCCCCCTTCCTGATTTCTTATTTTTTTGCATGTTTGTCACTTAAATGTTTCAGATCATCAAACAAATTTAAATATTAGACGAAGATAACACAAGTAAACACAAAATGCAGTTTTTAAATGAAGGTTTTTATTATTAAGGGGGAAAAAAAATCCAAACCTACATGGCCCTGTGTGAAAAAGTGATTGCCCCCCCCCTGTTAAAACATAAATTAACTGTGGTTTATCACATCTTTGGAAAGCTGA